CCCCCCCATTCATCCCTTTTCCTTTCCCCACTTGCCCCCTTTCACTCTTTCTTCAGCAGTATCTTCCCACTGTAAGGAGATCCTGCCCTGGGAGACAGCCGGACCACTTAGTGTTGACTTCTGACCAAGCTTCTGCAATGATGCCAAGCAGGCAACAAGGACTTCTCAATGTGACGTGATGGCAGGCTGCCCACTGAACGCCAGGGCTAGAACAAAACGGGCCTGTCAGTGCTGCCCTTGATGCATGCTTTTACAAACTGCAGAAGAGGTTCACAGATGGATCGAAATGTTCCGTTTCTTTCCTTGTAACATAAAAGAAAACACAACTGATTGCTTTTTTAAGCGGAATGTAAGTTAGCTATAAATGTTACAAGTACAGCATGATTAAACAGTTATTAAGCTGTTACACTCAATAGTCCTGCATATTTGGTCCTTTCTAATCTACTTTGCAAGTCACTCGTGCGTATCTAGTACATATGCTCCATCTCTGGCTCATGATAAAGTGCTTTATCACTACCTGTGACACAGTTACACTTATAGAAACTACTTGGCTGCGTTGCCTCCATTTGTCCAGGGTCTACTTTACAGATCTTTGTCCAAGGTAAACAACCTTGGGTCCACACAGTGTCACCTGTCTACAATGAGAAGCACACAGGAGGGTAGAATTCAAGTAGCTGAAGGGAGCTTATCTATTAAAACAAATATGATAAACTGAATTTTAATATTCAATGTGCAGCTGCACGTCTCTCACAGACAGACTGTATACACAAACCCAGTGACCCTGCTGAGTTTCCATAACTACAGCTCCATGTCAACAAAACATGTCCGTCGGCATGTGACGTTTATATTCAGCATAGTGAGAGAGAGACAGAGGGCTTCAACCAAAAGCACCATGGGCTGCCATTGAAGAAACTAATTTAGCAGAAAGGATGTTTAATCCAGACATGGACGAAAACAACCTCGCCAAAACACTAACACTCTATTTTTCCTGGAATGCTTGATGTCAAACATGTCCAGTCTGATGAGCTGATTGATATTCATGAGCTGCCTGGAGTTTTATTTAGTGCCGAAAAACTGAGCCCTTGGCTCTGAGAAATGTGCAGCACATTGTACCCATGCAGCTCAAGCATGAGGGTGGTCTGGGAAAATATTAATGCATGAAAGTTAAAGACATGTGACAATGATAGATGTCAGAAATAGAAGGATAACTGTGCACTAATGCTACAACAGCAGAGCATTCAGAAAGCTCAAGCTCAAGTCTCATTTTACTTACACATCAACAGGTACTCTTAACAGCAGGGGTAATATTGCTCCTTCATCCTTCAGGTCCATTAGTCGGGGCTCCAAGAGCTCAACAATGGTCAGAGCGGTACGGAAGACAGCTGACAAGCCTGTGGGAAGAAGTTA